GTGATCGGGAAGTCGTAACCGAAAGCGGCGGAAACGTGTCGTACGCCTTAACGAACTGCTGTAATGGAATCACTACGGATTGGACCGCCGGATCTGAAGCCGAGCTGAAAACCGTGGAGAACGAAATCTGAAATATACTGCACTTTCCGATGAATGGAGACGTCGAGAAGATATGGGTGAGCGCCTCTGCGTGAGTTCCAACTGGTCCACTTGCCTAGGGATCGACTGTACTGCACAAATGTGGAGTCGGCAACGGAGTGCGCGCGGAGATACACTGCCAGACGCTGGTTAGGCCTTGTATATCCACCGGCGGGGACACCTGCAACCAGCCGGAAGTTAGCGACGTAAAAAGATCCACAAACGACGCGTTAGCGGTAAGTCGGGAGTCAACATCTGCTCGGACGTTGGCTGCGCCGGGTATGTGGGACGCAGAGAACCGGAGTCGGAAAGTTGATTCCAACCAACTTAGCAGGCGAATAAGAACTTCAGCCCTGGGATTGCGAGATGCCAATTTGTTCTGCCACGCGACGGCAGATGTGTTGTCGATGCGGAAGTGTACGTGCCGCGGCCTCCCAGTAATGCGAGCGTTTGAAGCCCACCTTGCGCCCCATGTATGCACAGCGAAAGCACACGAGAGAAGCTCGCGAAAGTTGATGTCAAAACCGTTGGTCTCTCCGTTGTTGAACGCCGCGATGAGATCACGCTCGGACGGAGAGAATTGGTACGTCAGTGCCTCCTTTGCGGATATGAAAAGTGCGCAGAGACCGAAATCTGAAGCATCCGTTTCAACCACAATGTCCGGAGGCGGAAGTGCGTTGAAATACGCTAGCGAAACGCCGTTCAGGTGAGGGGTGTCCAAAATCATCCAGCACCACAGTAGGTCATCCTTCATTGTAGCAGTCACGGGGACTTTTGGAAGCGGTTGAACCGAGCCTCGCGGACCCGTAGGCGCTGTAAAAATGGTCTAGCGGCCCGAATACATGTTGCCACATGGCGTAGGCTTCCGAGCAGGGACCGGTACCCCTTGCGGGCGAGTGAACTTGCGACGTAGGCGGAAGCTAAGATTTTGCGGGCTTTGTCGATTTTGGCTGAAGGCATGGCAACAATTTCTGCGATTGTGTCGAACTCGAGTCCTAGAATGCGCTGGCGCGTCTTCCAGGGAGTAAGCTTCTCAGTGTTGATAGCATCGACACCCAGGACGGCGACCATGGCAAAACGGAGAGAACGATCCATGTCAACGCATGTAGTGTCAATGCAGGCAGCCACGTTAATGTGATCGTCTACCCAGTGATAGTTGAAGAAGCCACCAGGAGAAACTGCATTCGAATGACCGCCGTGAACATGAGAGATCGCTCCACCAAATGTCTCGTAAAAGCCGGGAGACCCCGTTCATCCGAAAGGTGCTGATAACTCGACGATCAATGCGTTTTCTTCTTTGATAAGACCGGCAAACAAGTACACACTGTTGCTGTGGATGCTGATGTGGCGGAAGGCAGATGCCACGTCACCTGTCATTACACGGACAGCCGCACTTGAAAAATCTTCTTTCGTTTTCAAAATTTCTCGCGCTACGGCATCGCAGTGGGCGTAGGCCGGCTTAGTAATGCTGTTTTGGTCCGTGCCGTCGTTGATCGAAGTACCATCCGGGTAGGATAAGTCGTGGATTGTGCGACCCGACGTGTTGGCATCTTCGCTTCCCTTGTCGACGACGCCGAACGGACTTATAATTACTTCGGGCCACTGCTCAAGCAGATCAATGTCGAGAACCAGGCATCTCCAGGCGTCTTGCCCTTTCCGGATATTCTTGCGCAAAATGTTGACGCGTTCTTGAGCAGAGACATGATTTGGTGGCCGAACCACTTGTCTGGGTGGAGACGGGATCCAGGGGATCCGCCACCATGAGACGATCCCCCCTTAACTTGACTTCGACTCCTTCACAAGCAATCTTGTTAAGTTGATTTAAGTGCTCATATCCCTCACACAACGTTTTTAGGACCGCCGGAACGATGTTCTTGTTTGGGCGATAGTCCTCCACTGTTTGGCCTCAAATTAACTCTACGAATGCAGGTAGCGGGAGCGCCGACCGGCATGCAAGGTCCGATAGAGCGTGCTGCAATGGTTGGTTAAGCAGATAAACCGGGCCTTCTGCGCTTTCGTGCATCGCAGGGTAGTGTTGTTGGGGCATCTCGATGTTAAAACTGGCCATAACCTTGGTAAGCTCGGCATGCCGAACTTGTTTGTGCAGGTCTCGACGTATCATTGCGTTGTCATACGTCTCACTTGCTCTTTGACTTGATATTACAGGGCGAATCGTGCGAGTCCCTTCCCAGTCGACCGGCCTCTCGGTGGTACTAGTACGTACTTCCACAAAACTACTAGAGCGATCTGAGTGTATACCAATCAAACCCTGCGGGCGGGTGCGCGAATGCATAGTCGGAGGAGTCAGTAAAACCGTGGGTGACTGTGTAGTCGGTCCGGACGGTATAGTCGAAGAGGGCTGTATAGCTGTGGATGACTGTATAGTCGACCCAGACTGTATAGTCGCAGGGTGCTGTATAGCTGTGGATGACTGTATGGTCAAAGGACGCTGTATAGCAATAGGTGACTGTATAGTCAAAGGGCGCTGTATGGCTATGACCGACTGTCTAGACGGATCAGACTGTATAGTCGGAGAGGGATGTATATCCGTAAGGGTCTCCTCGCTTGTGACAAAGCCATCAGTCGCAACGGAAAGCGGAGGCTGCGGACCGGGCTCAGAGGCCACTTGCGGTGGGTTTTGATAGGCAAAATGACCCTCAAACACGCTAATTTCTCGCTCCCGCGCGTATTCGTTCCCTCACCGCTCCACTCCCACCCTATCCGCCTCCCCGCGCTTCTCGTGCCGAGGAAGTGGCTTTTGCGTTGACGCCTCACTAAACTTGCTCTCAACCTTTCTGTAGAACTTGATCTATTATCCTGCATTAGGTGGTTCTCGTACCGAAAGGATGCCGAGCTGCATTCCTCACGGCCCCATCAGCGACGCTCGCCTGGATTCGTGCGGCGCGACCCGTACGTCTCGTCGACCCACTGCTGTACTCGTGGAGGCAGGCGGTCCGGCCAGTTGTGTGCTCGCTTGTGGTTACCGCAACGATCGCGGGTGCCTCCAGAGCACGGGAGACCTGCCACATTCAGCAAACACGGTTCTTGGCCACGCCTGTTAAGCGGGATAAGACGTCGGATGCCGTCAGGAATCGCAGGTCTTCTAGCTTCGTCGCGGCGCTGGCGTCCGCCGGAGTCACGGGCAACTCTCCCGTCGCTGTCTGCTGGTTGGCTGAGAACACTGAGGAGGGCCATCGCCCACAGCGGCGACTGGTAGTCGATGCCTCGCAGCGCCTCACAGAAGCCCATCCACCACGACGCATCATCCACTTGAAGATACCCCAGTGCCGTCCCGATGAACTTGTTCGCGTACATCAGTGTCAAACGAACGCGACCAGGAGTGTTGGCGGGATCAGCTTGCTTGTTCGGTACGGAGACAGGTAAGGTTACATCTGCTATGTCTTTTGTTCTGCGTGTTCGGGGGCTGGACTGCGTGAGGTTCCAAGTGACACCCGCCGTCCTGATGGCAGTCTTCAGCGGGCGTTTAGGATCCCGTGGCCTAACAGTGATGCACTTCAAGGAGAGCAGCTAAATTGCGTGCCTAGAAGACGGTTCGACGAACGCCAACTTCTCAAGCGACTTTAGTCCTTCAGCAACGCTCCCTCCGGCCTCTATTACGTGCTCTTCCTACGAAGATATCCTTGACGCCATAACGGCTTGAATGCGCTGGGCCAGGAGGTGTGGTACGACCACATGCGCAAGCTGACGTCGAGGTTGCGGGTGTTTGTGTCGAAGAAGTCACGGAACATTCGACTTGCGGCCAACATGTGGGTTTGCGGAGGATTGTAGTCGCCCTTCGCCTTCTTTGAGCCTTCTGGGAAGCTTGCGCTGGTCAGGTAACAGACTTCAGAGGGAGGCAGCCCTCCTTTCGAGTTCGGAGCCGTGACGATTGTGCCTGCGGACGCCCCACCCCATTGTGTACTTTCGCTACCGCGGAGCTGCCTCAAGCGTGCAACCTCATCGCGTAAGGAACGAAGCTCGCGCAACAGGTCCACTGGTGCTGCAGGCTGCGGTACAATGGGTGTTGGGTCAGGCTCGTGATGAGAAGGATGGTGAGCAGGACCCTCGGCCAATGCCACACCGCGACCGGGCTCAAACGACGCCATAAATGTGGACAGGTCGAAGTCTTTCCGGGAACTCGGGCGAATCTCAGGAGCAGCCGGTGTAGGAGGTTGTACAACTGGTGGAGGGAGCTGCACGATCGGGACAGTATCCCCTGCTGACTTCTTCGCCCTCTTAGGCTTAGGAGTTGCCGCCTTGTCCTCCAGGCCGTGGTCGGACCCGTCTTCAGTGGCGTCGTCACTCCTTGCTCGACTGGTAGTAGCTGCAGGCGACGGGGCCGTGCGCTTGGGTGTCTTCTTCTTTCCCGTGCGGGCCTCGGCCGGTGCTGGAGAGGAAACGTTGCCGGAGGCAGCTCGCTTGCTCGTGCGAATCGGCGGAGGGTCTGAGGTGCTACGGACGGATGTATTGGTCCACGTCTCCTCTCCACCAGTGACGTCGACGACGTCGGCTGCTGGGACGGTAGAGGCGCTGTCCGACAGGGCCGTGGTGGCCCTGGACGATGGGGAGTTGGGTGCGCTGGAAGACATGGTGTAGGATGAACCCCCCCTCTTTCTTGTTCGTAGTTCTTGTTCTCCAAATGCGAAGTGAGGAGTGGAGGCCACGTGTGTGATTGGCAGCTTTCGGGGAGTACACGTACCGGTACTACGCCAGTAATACCGGTCACAGATAATCTCGTGTGGAAAACACAATTCCCTTCCTCCGCTCCGCTCCACTATGGAATACACCAGTATCCGAGACGCTGTGCGGGGTCCGGACTTAACAGACTCGCGATGATATTCTTCAGCTCGGTGCTAGTGTTTTCAGGCCAGGGCAGTCGGTCTGGGCGGAGCGAAGCAATGTCGTTCAAGATCTCCAAGTCGTTCTCGTTCTCCCGTGTGAATGGTGTTGCACCGGTGAGCATTTCGTACATGAGCCCACCAAGTGCTCAGTAATCCGCAGCGATGTTGTGGCCTACCGAAAACAGTCACATTAGACCAGGACTTCGTCTACAATACAAATAGACTCTCTCACCTTCGCCAGTAATCTGCTCCGGGGAGAGGTATTCGGGGGTACCTCACACAGTGTAGGTCCGGCCACGACCGACGTACTTGGAAAGCGTACACGAAGCAGCCAGCAAATTCGATGCTTGAACGAGCTGAGACACAGGACAACGGGACGTACCGCAAGTTGATCATGCGGAGGTTTCCACTGCGGTCCACCATGCGGTTCGTGGGGTCAACCGTTCGAGAAACCACGCCCTCCTGTACATGCAAACGACAGCAGCGTGAGACGTGGAACTAAACCTCATCGAGAACTTAGCGCTAGCTTACCAAGTGCATGAACTCGAGCGCCATCACAACTTGCGCGGCGTAGTATCGTACGAACGACTCGCCGTGCGGTTCGCCGTCCGAGGAGCTCTCCAGAGTGCCATCGATTTGCGTGTTATACAGCATGTGAATGTCTGAGCCATTCGTTCATCCCGAAGAGCTGCGACACAATAGCGTTCTTCTCGTACACAGATACGTAGATGTCACGCTCGCCACTGACGTGCTTCATCATACCAGCGTCCATGATCGCCTGTTTGCTCACCGAGCGCAACGTCAAATAGACGGACGGGGATGAGCCCTTGACCTCGACCAAGCGAACAGTGTTTATTAGATCGGACATGACGCTTCCGACAACATCCAGACCGTTGATAGAGTGGGGCATCTCGGGCTTCCTTTCGTTGTCGAACGGGACGAAAGTGTTCGGCTGTCGAGCATAAAACCCAATTCTAATTAGCGCAAACACCATAGTATAGTACATACTATCCATACAACACCTTTGCCTCCTTCTGTGCCTCCAAGATCCGTGTCTTGCGTGCACGACGCAGTTTGTTCTTCTCCAAAATTGAAGGCAGGTTGCCCACAGCCAGTTCCAATGCGTCCTTTCGAATGAACAGACACTCAGTGCTCTCAATAGCACGAATGGAACGTTGTCTGCATACGAATACATCACAAGTTGTTGTCAACAAACAGTCATCACGCCCACCAATGTGCAGAACTGTCCATACCTGATCGAACGTCTTCGAACCAGCGCAATTTCACCAAAGTAGTCGAGCGTCTTGAGCTCCAGAGACACCACATTGTCCATCTTTGAGGTCGATTCGATGCGGCCACTGATGATCAGAAAGAAGCCCGGCTCCGTCATTCCCTCGTGCAAACCCACTTGGTTTGGTTCGAAGACCACAGTGCGCATCTCTTCTGCAACCAGGTTAGTCTGCGCCACAGTCAATGGCCACAGTAGGCTGATCTGGCGTAGACGTTACACAACATCACGCAGCGGTCGACCACGCATCAAGCTCGAGCGGTAAGCAATCCGATCCAGCGCCCAGAGCGTTCCTCCTTTCTCCTTTGAAACAACCGTGATGACGCGAGGCTTCGGGTAAATAACTGCCAGATCACCGAACGTCGGATGAGAGTTGTTGGCTGCCTTGCACACCTGCGAAGCCCATAAAACAGGTCAATTGCTGGTTGCGGAGGCAACGGCAACATGAGATGTGCAAGTTGCCGACGAAGGCGTAATTTCCCGATGTCGCAGTTAGTTATATTTAGTTCTGTAGGAGCTCGATAAGCCGGTACGAGAGGGCTCTCCATCGACATTTCGTTCGAGTTACTGAGCAAGAAAAACGTGCGGGAGTTTTAAAGCATGACATGAGCAATTTCTCACGGAAAAATGGACTTCCAAGACCTGTAGACCCGACAGAGTTTTCTACTTTGATTGGTGCAGTTGAAGTCCTTCACAACGTTGCTCTTCAATGTTACAAGCCTCTCGTCCAGGAGCTAATCCAATCCGCAGTAACGTTTCTTGCTGAGTTACGTGTTAGTGACGCACCAACTTCAGTGCTAGCTCTAGCAGAAGTTGCAGCTTGGATTGATGACCGTTTGGAGTTGTTTCGTGTCTATGTGTCTGATGAGGATTAGGATAAACCAGGAGGGGTCAAGTCGCATTTCAGTATTGCTCACGAGTCTTTCATGCGAGTCCATCCGTTTAAAATGCGGCAAGAGCTACACTCTAAACGGGGACAAGCTGCGTTTTCCGACGGTCAACGTGGTCAACCTCCCGCGGCAAAACGACCAGGCAAGTTCGAGAAGCGTCCCTCACGCTCAATTCCTCTGGAGATCCGAAAGGCCCTTCCTAAACAAGGCGGAAAAGAGATCTGGCTTCGTTTCCTTTCCAAGGAAGTGTGTCGAGGCGAAAACGGAGCCTGTGTCGACACAAATCGTTGTCATTTTAAGCCAGCAGTATTACCTCAGGCGGTTCGTGAATTTATCGCTAAGAAATTTGGAGGAATATCAAGCGACTTGCAGTGACGGTGTATACTGGCGGAGGCCGAAAGCTCCGATTTTTCACTGATTGACGACACCGATTACTTTGAAATTATTTCTTCCGGTACCGCCAGCAGTACACCTCACTCTAGTGCTCAAGGTTGGTGTTCAAAGGATGTGGTATCGATTTTGGCTACAGGGGCAGCGAGCACGACAGTCTTCCCCTCTTGTAATTCTATACAAGCTCACCACAGCCTCAACTCTCTTATGCGAGCAGCGAAGTCCAAGTGCTTCCCCTCGAGTAAGAAATTAGGAGACACAACCGAATTAACTGCGTTGCTCAAGCTGCAACCACGGGCAGCGGATTCTCTCGACTCCCCCTCGTGCGATAGTATGGTTACTACCCGCGCAGTAGCATTCTCTAACGAACAACCTCAGCCCACGTTAGACGCAGCTGCAATTCTAATTCGTGCCATGACATCTTCGCAAGGAGGTATAGACGGCAAGAGCGACCATATTTTATCTGCATGGGCAGCGGAGGTTTCAAGCTTCCCCTCATGCGAAAAATTTGACGAGAATGAAAACGCTACGGCGACGATGCCACCTGTATTTTGCGGTGCACATGAATTACACAAGTCAAACGCTCGACACGCTGCTGTTTGTGATAAAAACCTTGATGGACATGTGCCGACAGATAGTCTGCATTGTCCTAGTACTCAAAGTACGCCGGATATAGTGAGGCTGCTACGACAGCGCAAGTTCTCTCAAACTTTGCTGGCACGTCGCCGTTTGGCGGAAATTCACATAAAAACTGCTTCAGTAGTTTTAGCGCAACAGTTTATTCGCAGTGGCATCTCTCCACCGGATCCAGCACCAGTTTCAATGCAATGCAATGGGAAAACGACTTATCTGTTGGATCGAAACAAGCAGGCGGTATACAGTGAGTTTATTCGTCGAACCAATATGAATCTGCCAGAATTTGTTCGCCTTCTACGTGGTGAAAGTCCTGCCGATTCAAGACCAAACAAAAATCTCGAAATACCAAGCAATCATCCTGCCTGGGTCAGCTACGAACATAACTCGCATTGGCGAGCCATCGTGGATCACGGTGTTATACTGTATTGGAAGAAAGCATTTGGCAAGCAAGACAAGCCGCCTCCAAATCATGGATCGGCTCGCAGGGCGCTGAACACGATTGTGAAAAACCTCCGAGCTGGACAGGACGCCGATCGGTACTTACAACTCGATCATGACTTACTTTCTACACTGGAAGACGTGACTTGCAGTCCGTTTGGGGCTGTATCGAAGGGTGACGTCGAATTAAGCGTTGACGCTCGTATAATACACGATTTGTCGTTTCCAGTGGGCAGCTCAGTGAATGACAACACAATTGCTGATCAAGAAATCTCAATGACTTACGATGTGCCCGATGCACTATCTAATCGGATATTGGATGTAGCACAATCATTGCCAGGACAGCAGAGGAAGCTAACAGGTGACGTAAATGGTGCGTTCAAAAAACATCCCAATTGCGGCGGACGAGGTTGGCCGGTTTGCAGGGACGGTTCCAGAGCTCAACATCTTGGTGATCGATTTGTATTGCCCCTTTGGATGGAAAAACGCTCCTGCTTCGTACTGGTACGCTGGTCCAGGAAAATAAGCACTTATACGCTAATTCAGCACCACCAAGTGGACATCAATCACTTAAACAAAGCCAAAACTTCGATTCACGAGCTTGGTGCGATGATCATATCGCCATCGAGCCCGACATCGGTTCGCGGCTGTGTGACGCGGAATTTGCACTGAGAACTGCAATGATAACAGTTCTAGGGCCAAACGCATGCAACGAGAAAAAGTTCTCTCCTTGGTTTTCACGTGACAGAGCATTAGGACTGGAATGGGATCTGCAGAAGCTGACAGTATCCATGCCCGAGGAGAAGATAACAAAAGCGCTTCGTCGGGTTCGTGAAATGGCTCGTAGGCTCAAGGCCACCCGAACTCAATTGCAGAAGCTGATGGGTAGCCTCCGACATGTGGTTACATGTGAGCGAGCAGCTGCACCTTTCTTCCAACGAATTGCCGATTTAACCCGTCGAGCACCACGCTTTGGTGTCATTTTAGTTTCAGCTGGGGCTAAAGATGACCTACGCTGGTTCGAGTTAGTCTTATCAGCAGGGGTTCTTAATGCCATCCCTCTCGCTCGTTTTGTACGGCGACATGAACCCGATTACCACATCCAAATGGATGCTAGTGATCGCGGTTTGTGCGCACTTTTTCCAGCAAGACAGCAGTTCTTACAAGTGGAATTTAATTATGAGGAGCTTCAACTTATTGAAGAATTCAACAGATCAGGGGACGGAGATTTCGGAATCAACGTCCGTGAATTGATGAGTGCTGTGTTTGCTGCATTGGTGTGGGGGGCATCTGTGGAGCCGTTCGAGTCAAGATAGTGACGCTAATGTCCGATTCCGGATTGATAACAGAGCAGCGGTTTCGTGGAGTAACCGCAGAGCTAGTCGCAATCGTTTCGCGCAAATGCTCCTGCGCATTCTAAGTCTGTTCGAAGTAAAGCATGCATTTTATTCCACCGCCGATCACGTGGCTGGTGTAGACAACGCCATTGCCGACACAGGCAGCAGGATGTGGCAGTCACCACTACTGGCGACAAAAATTTTCTAACATGTCTTGTGGTTGGCAACAGGCTCAGACCCCTCACGACTCGCGAAACCTCTCGCGTCTTTGGGAGCATTACTCCGCGCAGGGGCTTTAGCACAGTCGTCGTCGAGGAAACATTACACAAGAGCGTGGTCTCAATGGACGTATTGGTGTAAAATAATGGGACTTAGCCCGTGGCTCAGTAAGGCCTCGATAGACAAGAACGCGGAGCAATTGGGTGTGTTCGCTGTTTATCTCGGGCAGTACGGAGCGAATCGCTCTCAGCAAGGAAACACATATTCCACGATTTGTTCGAAATTGTGTGCGGTACGCTGGTTTCATCGCAATACGGCAGGATACGACCCTGGTGTAAATGCCAGTCACGCGATTTTGCTTCGAGGAACTCGGCGATTTACCAATCCTGTCGTCAAGCAGCAGCCTCTGACAGCACGCCTGATTCGTCTCATTTTCGAAGAACTTGACCTCACGCAGACTCGACACCAACTTTTATGGGGTGGTCTTTTACTCGGATATTTCTTCCTGCTGAGACGTTCTGAATATCTATTCATTGGGCGGCAATTTCACAACTATACTCTTCGGCTCGAGGCAATTAAGTTTTACGACAATCACGAGCGCTTAGTAGCACCTAAGCGAGCCATGGCAGTTGGCATCTCTCTCAATGGAGCCAAAAACAACCAATTCGGCCGTGAGGAAATGCGTTACCACAGCAAGTCAAACGATTCGCTGATCTGTCCGGTTCGAGCAGCGCGATGGGTCCATAAAGCGGCAGCAGTGTTGAGCACGAGTGCAAACGATCCAGCCTTGTCAGTGAGAAAGAGTGGAATCACATCAACGGAGATCGCTGCGATAATTAAAAAATGCGGCAAGAAAAGCCGGTCTTGATCCGGCACGATTTTCCACTCATTCTGTTCCAATTGGAGGCGCCACAGCGTTGCTCAACGCGGGCGCCGATCGGCTTGTCATCAAACTTATGGGTCGTTGGTTGTCCAACGCGTTCGAGGGGTATCCGGTGCTCTCCGCCAAGGGGTCTGCGGAACTTTCACGCTACATGTACTAACAAAAAGGCGACCACACCCACGGCTCAACTCGCGGCAAGTTCATGATGGGGCCGCCGCCACGCCTCGCCCAGGTGTGGAAAAAATACAACTCAATCAATTTGCCCCAACGTGACATTGTTGGAAATTGCTGGTTGCAGAGGCAACGGCAACATGAGATGTGCAAGTTGCCGACGAAGGCGTATTTTCCCGATGTCGCAGTTAGTTATATATAGTTCTGAAGGAGCTCGAGAAGCTCAGTTGCTTCCAGCTCACTTTCGCTTTCTTTTCGCAGCTAATCCGCCACGCCTCGCCCAGGTGTGGAAAAAATGCAACTCAATCAATTTGCCCCAACGTGACATTGTTGGAAATTTGGACACTTGGTCACACCCGTATGTGATGAATAGGTCACACTTGCTAAACGTGGGTCACGTGACCAATTTAACTAGGTCACGCAGTAATAGCAGCAATCGCCCTTCACGGCAGTTTTGAAACCATTCCGATTCTCCCGAAAAGGCACACCCGCACTCAAAGGCAGGCCACTCCACTATAACAACATATCGATGACTCGCCGCAGACCTCCCAGAGGTGCAAACTCACCTTCACCTCTCAATACGTCACTTGTCGAATCATTACGTCGTCGTTGGAGGACAAGGTTCTCGCCGCCTTTTCGTCCATCACGGCAATATCGGGGTACTTCCACATCCGAAGTAGCAGTAACAGATACATCCATGCACAGCTGTGAGGTAGCCTATAATCTGCCAGCAACGTACATAAGAAAAGAAGCACAAGAACCGCTGTCACCATCGCTTAATACAGAATCGCTGTCGACTCAGCCTCCTACGTCATCCTCAGCAAATCCGACAAGCTCGCAGCGTACTCAATCTTCACGTAACCTCATCCCCACTACTACTGAGCTCCCACAGTCAACAGCAAGCTTAGTACGCTTGTAGGTAGCATACAAGCCACGCGACGGACGTACCAAGGTGTATTATCAGGGCTATGCCTTCACGCGCGCAAATACAACTGTTGTCAAGATAACCTACCGTTGTAGCTGATACCGTAAGAATTGTCGGACCCAGTTTGCTTACTATGCAGCCATAGCGTCGTTTGACTTCGAGAATATGAAGCCACATACCTGTCGTGCTATCCTCGGTCTTGTTGGGTCCGAGACAGGATCCGGTGATCACTGCATCGACATTTCAGAGGCTGTAATGGATGAAGTCGAAAAACAGGCCGCCGAAACGACTATTACACAAAAGGAAATTTGGACAGGTATTGTACAAAAGTTTTACATGCTAGATGGACCTCCTGTTCGTGGAGTATCAAAACAAGTCGTTGAACATCGCGGTCAAAATGTACGGGGAACACGTGGCGGGGGCCTACCAGCTTAATCGAGAAGCCACCCCTGTCGAAGGTGAAAGGTAGCCATCAGGGTTTCTTTCAGTTCCAGTATTCATGGCATGATGCCATCAAGGCGCAGAAAGACCCAGTCGGTATCGACAGAATAATTGGGTGGGGTCATCTCGCGCTGTTAAGTTTGCTGTGCTTTGAGAATTTATCGTGGTACATCGACGGCACTTTCCACTGTGCTCCTAGCCACTACAAGAAATACGTCACGATCATGGTCTATGACCAATCGAGTAAGCTCTACGTTCCTGTCGTGCATGTGCCCACTACGTCCATGACAAATAATCGTACCTGAAACTGCTACAGTGCGTTCAAGATTCTGTTGGCTGTAAATTCGTTCCGAAGGACGTTGTATGCGACTTTGAGGGCGCTCTCATTGGAGCAATGCGTACGTTCTTCCCTGATATCCGCATCATTGGCTGATTATTTCACTTTAAACAGGCCTGCAGCCGCAAACCAAAGCGATATGGGATGCCAAAGCTCGAGGCAAAGGTGGCTATGTCTCCAAGCGTGTTCGACGTACTGACCGTCATTGACCCCAGCAAAGTTGAAGTGCAAGGAATCGCGTGGGTGAAGGCTAAGATACGAAAAACTTGTGAGACCAAGCAGTTAGTTTACTCTCGACAAAAATGGAGAATATTTTGGGCATATTTCCAACGTACCTGGATGGATGCATTTCCCCCAACGTTCTGGAACGTGTACGGAATCAATCGGGATATTGTAAGTCGGACCAACAATCCATTAGAGCGGTTCCATCGTGAGCTAAACAAGAGAATTTGGCCTCATCCATCAATGAAACAATTTGCCACTACTCCGGAGATTCTAGCTCGTGAGTACGTTCTGCAACGCAATGCAATCATATCCGGAATTGCTGTTCCGCCAGTACGAGCTCGCTTAGTGCTGCCAATAGCCCCCAGATTACCTAGTGTGGCTGCCATTGAAGACTCCGCTTCGAGCAGCGATAGTGAAGGTCAAGTACACGACGTCGACGTGAATTCGGATCCATATAGCACTGACGTGTCTTCTACAACCGAAGAAAATGCTGTCTTGGAAGAGGCGGATGCGGCTTATGAGCACGATAAGCAGTTTTGACGGCCCTTGCTCAGTTAAGTCGTGGTATTAATGAGCTACTTGTAAAAGCCCAGCCTTCATACACAAGCAACAGTAATGCCGTGACTAGAATGAAAGCGCGCCAAGACAAGATTTCGTCATTTCCACGTCGCCCAAAAGTCGTGCGTAATTCAAAACTCGGTGCATCAAGCTCGACGCGAGCTGAAAACGACGGTGCCAAACGAGTTGGTCAACTGGTTCGTGCATGGGCTAAAACCAGCAAACAAGTTGAGCAGCGAATAATGCAACGAGAGCGAGAGCTACGACGTTCATGTATGTTACTTTGTCGCAAAATCGTAATCTACTTGAAAAGTGAAAGTTTGTCAACTACGAGCTAATTCTTGTTTTGTTCTTTCTTGAGGCTACTAAAGCGAACTGATACTAGCTATCGCAAGGGATCATCTTGTTCTCATTTCACAGAATAAATTTGTTTATCACTTGAATAACGGAATACGTCTGCTGAATCTATAGCGTAAGTGATCGAAGGTTAAGACTAATCGGAATAGATCGCATTGCATGACATTGGTAAGATGAATTTGAGCCGATTCAAAGGTAAATTCGTTGTGCACCTTTTACCAACTACAGCAATCAGCGTGGCACCCGTGGAAAGCGTGTTCCTCGAGCACAAACTACCATCAAATATTAGTCTAAGCGGTTTGTATTTGTCATACAGCAACGTGGTCAGTACATCTAGCTATAACATATGCGGAATTCACTGCAAGGCAAGACTCAAGGAACATGCACTCGCATATATTGAGAAGCCATAAGACCGACGGCTTAATCGAAATCAAATATGCAAGATGCCATCTCATTCTCCCATTCCGTGGAAAAAGGCGCGTCAAACGCGTGAGAGGTGAGGGGCACGAGGACATTTGCAGGGATAGCTTGCTTCACTTCAGCGTTAGAAAGTCTCTTGCAGTTTGCTACGTCAACAAATCTGCGGTTCATGTTGAGAAATGAGCATATATCAATGTTGTGCTTTACAATGCTAGTTCGGTGGCTCGTAACCAGCATTCCAGTGCTTCCGAAATCTCGTTCAATCTGGGCGGCGGAGGACGGAATCGCATACAGAATTCTCACTGCAATAGGCATGATCCGGTGGTTATTCTAATTTGCTGCCTCTTCTAGTTTGAAAGGATACCCTAGTGATCTACAGTCTACTCGGATCTGCTAACGACCTGTCGAGCTCTTCGTCGACTCGAGCTTCATGCACATCGTGTTGAGCAACTGTCACCGCTGTTTCTTCGGTAAATTCCATGAGATCTTCCGAAAACACCGTTTGCTTCTGGAGACTTGGTATATTTGGCATAGGCCCAGACGTATTAGATGAACTGGTCGGCTGTTGTGATTGTGTCGATGCCTGCGAGCCAATAACACTTCCTTTTGAAATTTCAAGCATCAGAACTCGTAGTCGATTCGTCACAGCAACCTTCACGGACGCTACATTTCGCGCCACGCTATGTTCGTCTAGGCGAAGTTGGGGCTGCTCTGGGTCAATTAACAACTGCTCGTTGCAAATTTTGACGATCTTAGCGAGACTTTTGGCTTGAATCTTGAATGATGGGTGCAACAACAATTGCATTTCTGGTATATACGCTGTACTTCGAAAACGCGATGGGTCCGTATAGCGAATGAAGAAGTTCTTGTGAAATGCTTGTGCGAGCAGGGCACGCGTTATTTTGGCGAGTCAAGTGATATTTTGCACTTGGTAGTACAGCGGAGGTTCTGAAGAGGACCGTGCCTTGTCTTGGATGGGCTGCGTTTCGTCCAAAATGGTCGTTTGAAGGCGAAATACCGACAGGAGAACGCTCACTTGGTTTGTCTTCTTTCTGGCTTTTAGTATTGAGAGCTGCAACAGGGTTCAGCAGTCCATACAATTCGAGAAGAGTTTCCTTGTCATCTGCGATAGGTAGACCCTCTGGTGCAGCTTTCCGTTCACGAATTGCTTTGTTAATCTTCTCTTGAAACCAGTCTTCGAGCTGGCCCCATTTGCTCAGTAAACGTTTTCTAAACCCATAAAGCGATGATCTGTATGCTCAAGCAATTATTTGGACGCGCCTGTGTTCGCCATTTCACAAAGCTCAGCAAAAAGACTCCCCATGGTTGCATTAGAATGAATTGCATACGTGGTGCGAGCGATGCGTGAAAGCAGATCTGTTACTTCGGGGGTTTTCGAGCTGCATCGCTGCGGCACGATTCCAAATGCCATCTTCGTTGCAGCGTTCGCTAGCTGCGGCATACACTATTCCCATTTAAGATGAATTCCTGTCGTCATCATCCATTTGATGTCTGGGCCAGCGTCGGTGGTTGAAGCATACACATCTTAAAGCGTCACCTGAATTTCTTCAAAAGCTCGAGGATCCATCGCTTTAATGACCCGCGACTTCCTTCACTTCTCTCGCCATTCATGGGCTCATAATGGCGAGTACCCAAACTATCAATTTGGAGTTTTCATTCACAGTCGGTAAAGTAGAGACGGAGGCCCAAGTATTTGGTGGATTTCTGGGTCTTCGACGTCAACATATCACACACCACTGTTAACGTCGGTACTCCAAGAACTCTGCTGCGATCAATGACATCACAAGCAGCGATTCGTGCACGTGCGTACAGCTTGACAATAGAACGCTTCACCGAGTGATTGTTGATCGTGACCCAAAATCATCTCCTCGGGTAAAGTCTGCTAATAGCTCAGATTCATCATATTCCCCAATTCGAAAAGAGAGATTGTTATTAAACACACGCATTGTCTCCAGTAGTAATGTCATTTTTCTGCCATCGTCGCCAGTCACAGCCTTGCTCAGGATACGCTCCTGCTGCTCCGTCCAACTTCGGTTTCTGCCGTTCCCTGCTGTCACGTTCGCCGCGGTTAGCAAATGCTCATCGCCGAGGTGTTTTGTGGCTTTCGATGTGTTACCATATAGCTGAATAATCTTGCTCTTAC